TACCAGAAGCTTCTACAAACATAATAATTGGTTTTAGTAAAAGGTATCTTAGGATTATTTCTAACTTAGAAATCATTCATCTCAACATATTTCCCCATTTAATCAATTCATCAAAGATACGTAGATCTCCTTTCATTTTATAATAATCTTAGAAACAAAAAAGTGTGAGTTGGGAACCAGCAGTTAGCGTAATGGCTATGTCGCTGGATTCCCATGTAGTCGACCGCGGTTCGTGTCCCGGACCCAGTGGCTTGAGACTCACGCCGGGCGCATGTGCATGCGTGCCCAAGATCCCGAGAGGAGAATGGAGGAGAAGGGATTGCGGCGTGACCATCCCCCCTGGGGAGTGATTTCTCGCTTTCTGTCTCTATGTCTCTGTCTGTCTGGCGAGCGCACACGCCCTACAGCGAAAATCTCTCCAAAAATCTCTCCAGAATAAAAAGAAAAAAAAAAAAAAAGTGTTTACAATGACCTCAGAGTAGCAAGCATGGAGCTCCAGAAATCTCTCCCATGAAATTTCGTTAGCAAAGAGAAGACAGAAATCTAACCGGTGTCCTAGATTTTCTCTTAGAACATGTATTTATTTTGTCACTGTAAATACTCATTGTCAAAACTCCAGAAAACAAAGTATTTTCTATATATATTAAAGAATTTATTGGCATCATAAAGCCATCATAAAACAGGACTCAGCCCCTGGGATTAAAACCAGGTCTCAGCAGGGTCATAGGGAAGTGACGAACATGTTACGGACTCTGAGACAACTTTCTTTTAAGCAAACCAATTAATAAGTAAACAAATAAGTATGATTTTTTTTTTTTTTGGAGAGATTTTCAGTGTAGGGTGCGTGCGCTCGCCAGACATTTTTTTTGGAGAGATTTTCACTGTAGGGCGCGTGCGCTCGCCAGACAGACAGAGAGAGACATAGAGACAGAAAGCGAGAAATCACCCCCCAGGGGGGATGGTCACGCCGCAATCCCTTCTCCTCCATTCTCCTCTCGGGATCTTGGGCACGCACGCACACGCGCCCGGCGTGAGTTTTAAGCCACCGGGTCCGGGACACGAACCGCGGTCGACTACGTGGGAGTCCAGCAACATAGCCATTACGCTAACTGCTGGTTCCCATAAGTATGATATTTAAGGTTGATTGCTAAGAGTTCACATGGGTCAAAGGTAACAGAGGACTGGGGCCAGCAGGTGGCATGGTGGTTAAGGGCGCTGGACTCCCACATGGCCTATCACAGTTCGAGTACCGGACCTGGTGAGTTCAAGTCCCAGACCTGGTGACTTTCTCTCTCTCTCTCTGTCTCTCTCTGGTAAATTAAAATAAATAAAATTGAATAAAATAATTCTTAAAAAAAGAAAAAAGGTAACAGAAAGGAGGATGAGAAAAGAGGCAAGATCAGGTACAAGTCCATTAGTAGGGCCGGCTGGGGGCGTGGTGGTTAAGCATCTGGATCTCGTGTGGCTGGCTGCACGGTTCAAGCCCAGACCCCGCGGCTTGAGAATTACACTGGACACATGTGTGTTTGTGTCCAAAGTCCCAAAAGAAGGGAAAGATGGAGGAGAAGGGGTTGCACTATGAGTGTTCCTCATGGGGATTCTTTCTCACTTTTCTCTCTTTATCGCTCTTTCCAGGGAGTGTATACTCCCTCTAGCATATGAAAAGGAAAGAAATTCACAGCAGAAGTTATCTAGAAGGCTGCCGGCCGTAGGATAGGATCCATTCTTCTTGGTGTCAGCAAGGTGTATGGCCTGCCCTAAAAGGGTATGGTGCAAGGTTTTTTTCCCTTAAATTATTTTTAACTCAACAATGATTACAATGTGACTTTTCAGTCCATAAATAGAATGCGTAGTTCTTAAATCAGAGTAATGAGTGTATCCACCATCTCAGCCTGTACCATTAGCTACAGTAACTTACTGCTAGCCTCATCCTCCCCACTGCAGCTGGCAGCACTGGACGGAGCTCCTTCTCCTGCAGTTGTGTTCCCCCACCCCGTCCTTCCCAGCATCCAGTAATCATTCCACTTCTATTTTTAGGAGACCATGTTTTCCAGTTTGCATGCATGAGGGTGAATATACAGTATTCTCATTCTACACCTGTTTCTTGTAACATAATACCTTCCAGCTCATCCACTTCACCGCGGATGACTGTGTTTTACCCTTTGTAATGTTTCCGTAGCATTCCTTTTTCCTTACGCATTCATCTGTTGATGAACACGTAGGTGGCTTCCGTATCTCAGCTGCTGTGACTAGTGCTGCAGTGAGTCTGGGAGCAGATCTCTTAACAACATCGATCTCCTTTCCTTGGACCTGATATGGAATTGTTGGACCGTATGGCAAGTGCATGTTCACTCTCTTAAGGACTCGCCATACTGTCCACAATGGCTGTACAAATTTATGTTCCCAACAACAGCGTAAAAGACTGCCCCGTTTTCCGCATCCTCGCCAGCATTTATTTTTTGTCTTTTTGGTAGTAGTCATTCTAACTGGGATGGGAAAATACCTCTTCATGTCTTTTGATTTGTGTTTCCCTAATGATCAAGGAAGCTGAATATGTTTTTCACATATTTATCGACCGTTTGCATGTCTCCTTTTAGAACTATCTGTTCAGGTTATTTGATCATTTTATAACTGTGTTATATTATTTGTTTTGTTTTTGCCACTGAATCCTGTGAGTTCCTAGCAGGTTCTGTTCATTAATCCCTTATCAGATGGCTAATACACAAATATTTTCTTCCATTCTATGGATTGTCTCTTGACTCTGTTGAAGGTTTCTTACTGTGCATAAGATTTTTAGCTTCAGATACGCTCACTTGTGTATTTTGCCCTTTCTGTTTTTGTTGCCTGTGTTTTTGAAGTTTTATTCAAGAACGTGGCTCATATTAATGTCCTGACGTGTCTCCTCTGTTTTCTTCTAGTAGATTTATAGTTTTAGGTTTTATGTTTGTCTTTAATACATGTGTAGCTGATTTTCATATATGATGAGAGATATAGGTCTAACTGCACATGGATGCTTGGTTCTCTCAACATCACTTATTAAAGAGTATCTCTTCCCCAGTGGAAGTTCTTGGCACTTTTGTCAGGAATTATCTGCCTGTATACATGAATTTGTTTCTGGGTCCTCTGCTCTATTTCATTGGTACATGTGTCTGCTTTTATTTTGTTTTGTTTCCAATATCACGCTGTTTTGTTGCTATGGCTTTATAGTACCTTTTCAATCTGATAGTCTAAAACCTCCAGCTCCACTATTTTTGGTTGGGATTACTTTAGCAATTTGAGACTCTTGTGATTTCACACAAGTTTTATTTTTTATTTCTTTCTTTATTTTTAAATTTCTGTTTATTTCAATTTCTTTTATACATTCAATCTATGTTACTTAGGTTACAACATGTATACATTTCTCATCAGTTCAGTTGACAATACGATAATGCTATCTTCAATAGATAAAAATCCATTTCTTTGTCTCATAAATGTCTTGCCTCTCTATTTTTCTCATTAATGTCTTTCCTCAGATTTGACTCCTTCACACACCCTCTTCCCACACTGTATCTGCTATTCACAACCATTTACTAAGTTTCTATAACCTTTAGTCATTCTGTTTTGTCCATAGAGTGTGGACATTCGCTATATATTAAGTGAAGATGAACAGTGTCTCTCCTTCATAGCCTGGCTTGCTTCACTCAGTAGTAAATCTTACATATTCATCCACTTTCTGTCAAAAGCCAGGATCTTGTTGTTTTTTATGATCGAGTAGTATTCCATAGAGTATACGTGCCATACTTTTTCAATCCATTCATCTGTTTGTGGGCTTTTGGGTTAGTTCCATGTCTTAGCAATTGTGAATAATCCTGCAATAAACATAGATGTGCAAGCACTTTTCTGATTAAGAATTCTTCTGTCCTTTGGGTAGATACCCAGGAGTGGGACTTCTGGATCATATGGTAGTTCTATTTGTAGATCTCCGAGGAATCTCTGAATTGTTCTCCACTGTGGCTAGACCAATTTACATTTCAACCAGCAGTGTAGGAGAGTTCCCTTTTGACCACAACCCTGCCAGAACTTATCATTTTTTAATTTTAGTCATTTTTACTGGAGTTAGGTGATATCTCATTGTGGTTTTTATATGCATCTCCCTTACAATGAGGAATGTTGAACATTTTTTTATGTGCCTTTTGGTTATTCACATGTCTTCCTTAGAGGGTTGGGTTTTTTTGTTTGTTTGTTTGTTTGTTTTTTGTCAACTCCTCCCATCTTTTAATAGGGTTTAATCATCTTTTTTCAAGACAGCTGCTTGAGTTCCTTGTGCATTCTGGTTATCAGTCCCTCATCTGATACATAGTTTACAAAAATATTTTCCCATTCTGAGGGCTTTCTATTCACACTAATTACTGTGTCTTTTGCCATGTAGAAACTTCTTGATCTAATGTAATCCCATTTGTCTATTTTTGGGCTTATTGACTGTGTTTTGGGGGTCTTATTTAAGAAGTCTTTGTCTACTCCAATGTCTCCCACAGTTTCCCCAGAATTTTTCAGTAGCAGGTTTACAGTCTGAGGTCTTAAGTTTAGATCTTTGACCTACTTTGAATTGATTTTTGTCAATGGTGAGAGGAAAGGGTTCAGATTCATCTTCCTGCAAGTGGATATCCAATTTTCCAGCACCATTTGTTAAAGCAGTTTTCCTTCCCCCACTGGATTGACTGGTACCCTTTGTCAAAAATCAGCTGGCTTTGGGAACCAGCAGTTAGCGTAATGGCTATGTCGCTGGACTCCCACGTAGTCGACCGCAGTTCGTGTCCCGGACCCGGTGGCTTAAAACTCACGCCGGGCGCGTGTGCGTGCGTGCCCAAGATCCCGAGAGGAGAATGGAGGAGAAGGGATTGCGGCGTGACCATCCCCCCTGGGGGGTGATTTCTCGCTTTCTGTCTCTATGTCTCTCTCTGTCTGTCTGGCGAGCGCACGCGCCCTACAGTGAAAATCTCTCAAAAAAAAAAAAATCAGTTGGCTTTGTGCAGTGGCAGTATTGTAGCCAATGAAGTTTATCCAAGGGGCCATTATTGCTAATTGAAAACTTTTTCCAAACAAGTTTTATAATTGCTTGTTCTATTTCTGTGGAGAATATCATTGGGAATTTCACAGGTATTGCATTTAATCTATAAATCACTCTTGGCAGTAGAGATACTTTAAGGATGTTAAGGATGTTAACACTTCCAATCCATGAACATGGGATGTCTTTCCATTTTGTGTGTGTGTGTGTCTTCTTATTTTTTTTCTATAAGTGATATAAAATTTTCTTTATAGAAAACTTTTACTACCTTGATTAGATCTATTCCTAGATTTTTTTTTTCTTTTTGAGATTTTTTGCTATAGGGCATGTGTGCTTGCCAGAAAGACAGAGAAAGACAGAGAGATAGAAAACAAGAAATCACCCCTCAGGGGGATGGCCACACCACAATCCCTTCTCCACCATTCTCCTCTCAGGATCTTGGACATGCATGCGCATGTGCCTGGTGTGAGTCTAAGCCACCAGGTCCGGGACATGAACCATGATCAACTACATGGGAGTCCAGCAACATAGTTATTACACCAACTGCTGGTTCCTACATGGGATTCCAGCAACATAAGTCATTACACCAACTGCTGGTCCCTATTCCTAGATATTTTGATTTCTTGGAAATGCACAGCATTTTAAAATAAATATTACATTTACTCATAGTCTCTCATCCAGAAGATATTAATATTTGAGAACTATTTCCTTCTGTTTCCTTTAATATTAAATCTATTTATAAAATTCTAAGTGTAAATCTTATTTTCTTAGATTTAATACTATATAATGACCCTAATGCCATAATATTAATATTATTTAAAGCAAAAAAAAAAAATCAGTTGGCTTTGTGCAGTGGCAGTATTGTAGCCAATGAAGTTTATCCAAGGGGCCACTATTGCTAATTGAAAACTTTTTCCAAACAAGTTTTATAATTGCTTGTTCTATTTCTGTGGAGAATATCATTGGGAATTTCACAGGTATTGCATTTAATCTATAAATCACTCTTGGCAGTAGAGATACTTTAAGGATGTTAAGGATGTTAACACTTCCAATCCATGAACATGGGATGTCTTTCCATTTTGTGTGTGTGTGTGTCTTCTTATTTTTTTTCTATAAGTGATATAAAATTTTCTTTATAGAAAACTTTTACTACCTTGATTAGATCTATTCCTAGATTTTTTTTTTCTTTTTGAGATTTTTTGCTATAGGGCATGTGTGCTTGCCAGAAAGACAGAGAAAGACAGAGAGATAGAAAACAAGAAATCACCCCTCAGGGGGATGGCCACACCACAATCCCTTCTCCACCATTCTCCTCTCAGGATCTTGGACATGCATGCGCATGTGCCTGGTGTGAGTCTAAGCCACCAGGTCCGGGATATGAACCATGATCAACTACATGGGAGTCCAGCAACATAGTCATTACACCAACTGCTGGTTCCTACATGGGATTCCAGCAACATAAGTCATTACACCAACTGCTGGTCCCTATTCCTAGATATTTTGATTTCTTGGAAATGCACAGCATTTTAAAATAAATATTACATTTACTCATAGTCTCTCATCCAGAAGATATTAATATTTGAGAACTATTTCCTTCTGTTTCCTTTAATATTAAATCTATTTATAAAATTCTAAGTGTAAATCTTATTTTCTTAGATTTAATACTATATAATGACCCTAATGCCATAATATTAATATTATTTAAAGCTCTCTTTTTTGTTGCTTTATTGTTTTGTTTTGCTGTTTGTTTTCTCACGGTTTTTGCCATAGGGCACATGCACTTGCTGGAGAGAGACAGACTTGCTCAAACCATAGTGAGAGGGAAAGTAAGAAATCATTCCCCGGGGGGATGGTCACATCACAGTCCTTTCTCCTCCATTCTCCTCCTGGGATTTTGGGCATGCACTACTGCCCAACATAATTTTTAAGCCACCAGGTCTGGGACTCAAACTGGACTCCCACATGGCAGCCTGAAGAGCTGCAGAGCTGGGGAACCAGCAGTTAGCATAATGGCTATGTCGCTGGACTCCCACGTAGTTGACCGTGGTTCGTGTCCCGGACCCAGTGGCTTAAAACTCACGCCGGGTGCGTGCCCAAGATCCCGAGAGGAGAATGGAGGAGAAGGGATTGCAGCGTGACCATCCCCCCTGGGGGGGTGATTTCTCGCTTTCTGTCTCTATGTCTCTCTCTGCCTGTCTGGCGAGCGCACGCGCCCTACAGTGAAAAATCTCTCCAAAAAAAAAAGAGCTGCAGAGCTGGGAAAGAGAGACCCTGGCTTGAAGAGACCCTTTCAAAGTGCTTCTCTCTCATGCATGCATACACATACGCAGTCATGAATACAATAAAAAGACTAAACCATGTGAATAAATAAAACCACTGAAGATAGATTTTAGTTGGGTCAGGCCCATGGCCGAGTGGTGGAGATAGACCCTGCAGAGCCAGCTGCCATATGAACCCCAGATGCAACAGCCTGGAAACGTGCTGGGCATGTGCATGTTTGCGTGCATGTGTGTACACGTGTGTGCTGTGTGTATGCGCCCAAGCTCCTGACGGGATGGAGAAATGAGGGAGAAAAGATCACACCTTGAGTGGGTGGGGGTGTTATCTCCTCCCCTTCATCTCTTTCTCTCTCTCTTTCTCTCTCTCTCTCTCTCTGGAAAATAATTTGTTTTTTAAATTTGTTTTCTTTTTTTAACACTCTACACAGAATCTCACACACATACATCCACACATACACACCCCATCTTCTATACATCCATGACAGTTTATTTTTATGAATTGAATTTTCAAAATTATTATATCACCATGCAGAGATAAACTCAGTAATAAAGATAAAAGCTCAATTTGTACTTTGCGCTTTTTATTAAGTACATTCTTTTGTGGTTGTACCTTTAAAAATACTAGTCCATTCACTGCTCAGTTATCTCATGATCTAGTTTAAAACTTCACTGAATAATTATTTGTCAGAAAGAAAACTAAACATGCAAACAATGGACTGCCCGCACAGCCCAGGGGTTAGGGGAGCTGAGTTAGCATGGCCGGTTACACAGCTCAAACCCGGACCCCGGCAGCCGGAAACACATGCCAGGCCTGCATGCCTGCCCCAAATCTGACCCGATGCAGAAATGGAGAAGGGACTGCAGCATGACACACCCTGCTGAGGCGCTTTCTCCTCCTTCCTCTCTCCCTGCCTCTTCCTGGTGAGAGTACACAGCCTCTGGCAAATTAAAGGAATAAAGAACCAGAGAATTTAGGGTGTCTGAAGGCAGCGATGCTGGTGAGAATCAGGGAAGTCCTGGCCCAAGCACAGTGCAGCCTGGTCTTCGAAAGAGAGAAGGGGCGTCCCCCAGTGGAATTAGGGTCCTTTAATTTCATAGATTTCATTAAATTGCTTGTTAAAGGAGACTTAGTGACCCCCTACTGATTTATCTCTTCAGATGTATTTAAGACACGGGTTACTACCAAGCCCCGAATAAAAACACGCACTTATGTATGGAAGCTTTTATATTGTTTTACATTTATTTATCTTGCATGTATTTAAAAACTCTCCTTAAGGAAATTTCAATTAAGATTTACTTGACTAGAAATCCAGGTTGCATGGCTGTATTTCAATAACTACTGTGACTGCAGGCCTGCCATAGATTAGCTGTGGCGGAGGCCAGAGCCCCACAGCCTGGCAAAGGAATTGATGTTTCTCCTTGCAGTTCCTTTAAAGAGTATGTTAGATATTTCATCCAAGTGCATAAAGAAATCATTCAACTGATTGTTTAAGGAAAGCATGTAAATGACGAAACACTGAATAATGAGTAGGTCAGGCTTCTTTTAACACTTCTCAGAAAGGAAAGACACTGGCAAAATTTCATCAACACTTTTTGGTTTTCTTTGGAGAAGTTTTTGCTATAGAGAGTGTGCACTCGCCAGAAAGGCAGAGACATAGAAAGCAAAAAATCACCTCCCAGGGGAGATGGCCACGCCGCAATCCCTTCTCCTCCATTCTCCTCTTGGACCTTGCACGCACACACGCGCTCCCGGCATGAGTCTAAGCCACCGGGTCTGGAACTCGAACCACAGTTGACTACATGGGAGTTCAGCGACACAGCCATTATGCTAACTGCTGGTCCCTTCATCAACACTTTTAAGATTGCCAAACACATTTATTCAATTATTGCTTCAGAGCTTAAAAATAAAGGTTCACAGATTGAAATACTATAATTTTCCATACATAACAGTTTTTCAATAGGCTGAAGTTAACTTTAACATTAAAAAAAGTAATAATAACACCCGAGTCCACCTTCCTAAAGAAAACTAATTCTGCCACTAAAGATTGCTGAACCATGAAACTCAGAACAAGTACACTCTTAAGCAAGGAAACACTTTAACTGATAAAATTTGGTTCAGTGGAAAATAAAATACACTAATTTCCAGTAATGTTTCCACTCCAGCATTTGGAAGACTGAGAAATGATGCAGTGGTCTGACGAAGCAATCTTGTGCTTCTATTTCTTCCTTCGAGCAATACAAGATACGTGCCTAATCTACAGGATTCCTTTAGCGTGCATGATAAACCGAACAGCAGTGTTTAGTACAGAACACATTTCTACAACAGGTACTTAGGAATTGCCTGCTAGTTTTAAAGTTTTTTTATGGTTCTAAGAGTGGTTACCAGCAAAGAGATTAGACCCACTCTTTACAGAATGCTGACATTAACAGAGAAGTCTAGAAGGGTAAGTAGGGTCCTCCTTGGGAAACTGTGTAGCTGGGGACTCCTGTTCCATGGAAGCCACAGTTTCCAGGACAAGTTACAAGGCTCCATTTAGAGCATAGCTCAAGAACGAAACAAGAAAAACATTGAAGGGAAATTGAATTAGTTACGAGTTTCAAGAAAAGGAGTTGTAAGTAGTTTATTTTGCCTGGTTTGCTTGTTTGTTCCAAAGGCACAATTTCAATCACAGATTTTTCTGAAATATTTCAGACCATCAAGGAGAAAGTAAAAGGACCTGGACAATAAACACTCCAAATATTGGCCCAGTTTGGAAAAGGGGGGAACTGAGACACGCTAAGGTGACTTTACTGTACATTTGATGGAACTGCGGGTTC